TTACGTAATTTGTATATAATAAGGATATGTAATTATAAATTTGTTTCTCAAGTATAGCAGACTTTGATATTGGAAGATTGATTTGTTAAATATTAACTTGGCAACAAACTATTATACTCTACGTCAATTATAGGTTTAACCTATAAAAATCCTCAATTACTACACTCACACACAAACATAGGCAAGAAAAGAGGGTATACGTGTTGATTGGCTAATAGCCTCTTGAAAGGAGGACTTGCAAGGAGCCAGATCCTTGAGAATTTCCTTGTACATTCTCATACTTTCTAGGGTAACAGCTTCTGGAACATTCTGGGGAGTCTTCACATAGCCATTCTCAGTCTGTTCTCTTACTCTCCTTGACTTTCTTTGCAAGATGACAAAGAGATAATATTTTGTTATCAGCTGCTTTTTGGAGCCTAAGAGTACTCTGGATTTACTCTCTACCCTTTGGTTTGTCTTAAAAGTTTCTCAAGTATCAGAGTGGCCATCTGATAGATGAAATCACTGCATTCCTGGAGAATGATTCTTCTTCTCAGAGGACATAAAGGCTGCTGATTGCTTTTATAATATTTTTGATGCTTATGAGGCTAAGATATAGGACTCTGTTTCTGCATGGGTCCGTGCTTTAAAGGAAGACTCTTTCATAGCCACCATCCTTTCTTGTCCTCTTCTGAATTTTTTTTTTTTTTTTTTGAGACAGAGTCTCACTTTGTTGCCCAGGCTAGAGTGAGTGCCATGGTGCCAGCCTAGCTCACAGCAACCCAACCTCAAACTCCCAGGCTCAAGCAATCCTTCTGCCTCAGCCTCCCGAGTAGCTGGGACTACAGGCATGCGCCACCATGCCCGGCTCATTTTTTCTATATATTTTTAGTTGGCCAATTAATTTCTTTCTATTTATAGTAGAGACAGGGTCTCACTCTTGCTCAGGCTGGTTTTGAACTCCTGACCTTGAGTGATCCTCCCGCCTCAGCCTCCCAGAGTGCTGGGATTACAGGCCTGAGCCACCACGCCTGGCCTGAAATGTTTTCTTGATCGCAGGGAGGACTACACTATGGAGCAAAGGGCAGAGATTTTTATCTATTATGCTCACTGATGTATCCCAATGCCTGACATATAGTAGGCACTTGATAACTATGTGTTGAACAAATGAGCAGATCAGGTGACTCTTCTTCATGGATGAAGGATGGTGTATTTTACTACAGGTTATGCTAGCTAGTTCTGCTAATCCTGCCTGTACCCACAGAGAAAAAAAAATCCCATGCCTAAATGAAATTATTTTATTCAGCAATGATTCATGATTTTATTCATAAATCATTAATACTATAGTCAGACCCTGCAAAGAACAGTTCTGCAAAAACTACCACCCTGGAAAATACCCAGTGACCCAGACCCTCTTCAGAATCTCTCACTCTAAGAGCTGAAACCTGAAGAGGCAGCATAAGCTGGAGATTTCTGCAGAGCCTGCCCTACTGATTAGTTGCCTGCCCTACTGATCTGAGCTTGAAGCTGATTCAGGTTCAAGACTCATGAAGAGTCTCTGAGATACGGAGCACGATGAGAACTAGACCTAATTATTTGAACAGTTCCTCAGAACTGTCTGTTGTATTTCCTGGTTGCTGAAGTTGCAACCACCAGACAAGTTCAAGTGGTTTGAGATTGACATTTTGAGATTCAAGTGGTTTGAGTGACACCCATTCCATGAAGATTCAGTTCAACCCCAGTTACCAGTTTCATCAACTGGTAACTTCAGGCCTCCCCTGAAAGGTTCTGAGTGACTATAAGGGAGAGACAGAGCAAGGGGGCAAGTTAGTGTAAGAGCAAGTGGGTTTTTTGTTTTTTTTGTTTTTTTTTTGAAAATAGAGGTTTGAATGTATGGACTTGTAATAACTCATTTTTAAAAATAATAACCCTTCCTTTGGTATACTTTAATGTCACAGTCTTAAAAGGTAACTACCTTCCCAAAAGACATGGCCTTAAACTTACTGATCTGGGTCATTTAATTTCCTTTTTGAGGCACAGAATAAAGGCTAAAATTTTGGGTAACAACTCCTGATACCTGAATTCTCACCCTCTCCTCAGACATGGAATCAGATGATACTGGGAATTCTTTGATTCCAAAGAGATACAGTCAAAATGAACAGCATTTGCAAAGGAGAGGTGCTGATGGTGGTGATTTGCTGAATGAAAACAATGTTTCCTCATTGCACTGCCTGTTCTCTATCACAGTTCATCTCACCTCTTTGCCTCTTTCTCCACCATCTCTCTGACATTAAGATCACATGTGTGGAATGAAGCCGCCAGGAACAAGTGGGTGCTATAAATGCTCCAAGGTTAATAGGTGAAAAAAAAGGTGTTTCTCACTTGCCCCCTAAATTTATCTTTTAATATATTCTCTTCAATGTTTAGATTTAATCAGAGACTTAAAAAAAATCTATCAAAAAGAACTGTACCTGCCTGGGCAATATAGCAAGACCTTGTCTCTACAGAAAAATCTTTAAAAATTATCCAGGCATAGTAGCGTGCACCTGTAGTCCCTACTACTTGGGAGGCTGAGGCAGGAGGATTGCTCAAGCCTAGGAGTTCAGGCTATGATCACACCACTGCACTCCAGCTTGAGCAACAAAGTGAGATCCTGTCTCAAAAAATAAACATACAAAAGAACTGCAAACATAACATTACTGGTAACTCTACAAACTCTAAGAACTGTGATGTCTTTACAAAAATGATAATGCTAAACTCTTAGGGGAAAGATCAAGAGGTGTGGACAAGTGGGAAGACCCTGTCCCTGGACTTTCTTAGTCTTTCCTCCAGCAACTGCTTTCTTCTCCAAATATATAAGTAGATCATCTAAGAGCTTGCTTTTAGAATCCCAAAATATAATACTATAAGGAATTTAAGTATCTCTCTGGCCCTCCTTCTGTCTCACCTATCCCAAGATTAAACTCAGGTCCCTATGACTTTTCCTTGTGCCTTATTTAAACATGCAGAAATCTACATCCACACCCAGTCAAACACCATAAACTGGCTCATTTTCATATAACACATTTATTTATTCTTGTTGTATACAAAATTCTCACATCTTAGATAACCACTAGAAAATATAAGATCAGAAGATGATAAAGAATAAAAGGACATGCTTCCTTGGTGTCATGACTGTCACTTCCATAATTTGTCTAACAACTTTCTGATCCTCCTAATGGTCAATAAACTTAGGCAGACACAGTTTCTGAAAAGGTGAAGCATCTACTTACTGTGCTTCTTCAGAAGACTCTTGTTTTATTTTTAATGTTCTCTTTGTGACAGGTATTTCATCTGAAAAGCAAAGATTTTGAAACAAATTATATTGTCCTAAGTGATGGCATATATTTACATACATAAGTACCTATGTTTACTGCTCATTCCATACTTTCCAATGCCAGGCCTTAGTTCTAATGTCAAATTGTCCAATGCCAGATTTATAAATATAATTCTTATATAATGAGATTCATACATTTATATGCAAGATCAGAAACCAGCTCTACAAGTATAAAATTCTTCAAGGTCACCAGTGGATTTCTAGCTAGGAGCTTAAAGCTTAATTTCACTGCAAACACGATTTTAAAAGAACAAGAATGAAAATAATTCTGTTCTATTTAGATTTTCTATGTAGGTTTTATAGAGGATCAACACATATTGCATGTTATTTTTTTCCCAAAGGTTTGAGTGACTTAACTCTGTATGGTAAAAACCAGTGTTATGGGATGCCAAAATAATTTAGTCCTTATTACTGTTTTGAAATTAAAGATATAGTGATCACTTAACATCTGACCTTATTATTCTTCTAACCTTTAAGTCCATCTTTCACATACTATTATTCTTACAGTTTTATAGCCCCTTTCTTCTCATTCTCTCTTTCAATATTTGAGAGATATTTTAAAAACAGCATTCATAAGAAATACAATAGCATTTATTCATTTTTCTTTTGAATTCACATTTCTGTCTCATCAGGAATTCTGTAAAAAAAACAGTACCCATGGACTTTTATCATAAGCTAGGGGAGCACATTTATACTACCAATTCTACTTATTCTTCCTTGGGAGTTGCCTGAGTACCTCAATGGGAAGTAAGAACATTTACTTAAGTGAGTGCTTATTACACAATTTGCTGTTAATGTACAATGGCTGCAGCAGAAACTTTATTAGTACTTCCAAATTATAGAAATCAAACCAGAGCATCTAACGCAAAAAGAAACAAACAAACAAACAAAAATTCTACACATATACTCTTAATTAAGCCATATAAGTTTAGATTTGATGGCCAGTTTTATTTTCCATTTGTAATGCCTATGACTGTATATAAATCATTCTAGCTACTACTGGCATGTGATCCCTTAAGAACTTTGAAGGAGTATGATCACAGTTCAAATATCAGCTTTTCTCAAGATAGATGGAAGATTCCCCTCATTTTTTGTTCAGACTGAAGTCTGGGAGGGGAACTTCTCCAAATCATAAACAGAAAAGAAAAAGAATTTGGGATGAAGGAAGGACAAGACAGTCACATCTATAGCATTTGGGCCAAGAGTCAATACTCTTGGCTGTCATCTTAGAACTAGAAGGTGCAGGATATTTAGAATTGCATAGGATGCTGCCTGTCACTGAGCTTCCATGTATAGCTCAGAATCAGAAATTCTTCTGGGTCTTTAGGAATCTTGTTGGTACCCACATCACCAAAGGACCAACACTGCGCACTAGCTGGCACGTTTAAGGTTAAACGGCCCATGTTGCCCCAAATAAACTGGCTATGTGCCTTGTGATGACTGACCACTAGTGGGAACAGTATCAGAAGATATTTGCAGATAATAAGTACCAGTGCACATATATAAAGGTATATAAACACACACATACTTAAGTATCATATATATTGGCTTCTTACCCAATTCCTGATCTGTTGGATAGCCATGGAGATCCTGACTGTGGTTTCCCCAGTCCTCCTGTGAATAGTCCTCCATAGTGCTGCCATCTGACTCCAGCTCCTGGTACAAGCCACTACTGTTAATAAGTACAGGCTGGCAGGGCTGAGCATCCCATCCTCCCTGACCAAACACCTGTTCCAACTGTTCAAATGTGTAACTGCTCTTTCTTTTCCCAACACCATGTTCTTTCACCCGACTGTAACACCTGCGAAGGGTCTAAGACACAAAGTCTTTTGTTATTCCTTTAAAGCTGTACTTCCTCTTCCAGGTACGGACCACAGATATTAATTACTATTAGACAGACACAGACAGACAAACATAGACACATTGTTACAGGAATGCTAGATTTCAAATTCATTATTATATTAGAAAAAAAATACTAATTTAGCATTTACTCAAACATGTTATAATTCAAACAATTATTTTGCAATTAATTATCCATTAAACAACAAGAAACATTACAACATTATTGCATGTACCCCATACACATACTTTTATGCCCCCACCCCATTTAAAAAGAATAAGGGGGGGAAAAAAACAAGAAATACCAGCCAGCCAATAGGATGCACACCTGCCACAGAAAAGAGAGAGCTGCTATTGTGCCCAGAATTTGGAAAAAGTGAGGGAAGGGAGGACAGAAAGAAGAATTTCCCAAAGCAAAGAATACCTTCCTTACTCTTGATTAAGAAGAAATACAGGGTAAAAACAATTGCCTGAACAAATTACCTAGTAAAACATACTTACATAGTCTGTATTCCTTACTAACTTAACTTAATCTTTGTAGAAGCTGCTAAAATTTAAAAGAGGTCAAATCAGTAACGCTACAAATTCCCAGTCTCACACATCAATTATCAAGAAATAGTACACTAATACCTATGTCTAAAACTTGACAATTTACTAATCTATTCTACCAATTCAAATCGCCAGCTAAACAAACCAACAAGGCAGGCCCATCATTCCTTTTCTGGGGGAAGGGCAAGGTGGAGGGGTATTATTTCACTTATTTTTCTGCCACAAAACACACAGCAAATAAATAACATGCAAGTCCACAGATAAAACCTAGTTAATTTACCTTGTACAACTCTTCCGTTTTTTTCAGGGTTTTTATTTCTAACACATTATTTCTGATGGTTAGCCCAGTTTCCTGAGTTTAGTGGTATGTCTGACCAAGGACTTAGTCCCAGCTTCCAAACTGAGTTTAGCTGCATTCAGTCTCTATATCATCTCTGCCTCCCTTTGTTCCTTCTACTCTCCTTTCTACTTTACTGGGTTTCACTCTCAGAATCTTCTTGAGAGACAAGACCCTGTTCCCTGTTGCCTCCCCAATACTTTCTAACTCAACAATGCAAAACCAGTTCACCTCCAACTTAATTCATAGGCATTTGCCAGACTCTAAATTTCTCCTAAATATGAGATTACTTTCCATAAGCCAATAATATTAACTATTCTCACCAAACTAAAACACCTCTTCATAATCTTTATAGAGCCTCCATGGAAGTTCAGTATCTTTAAATCACAGCTGACAATCTATAAGACACTCTGTCAAATATTTTGTAAATCTGTCCCTTGAGGCCGGAAATCCAGATGGGTAAAAAGAGTAATAAAAACATGACACATGATCTTCCTCACACATAAACAGAGCAATTATTAGTGTCTCCCACCCTAAAGCCAGCCAGCCTACCCTCTGCAAAAGCACCTGCTTCATTCTCCTTTTCTTGAGATCTCTTCTGGGGGCTCAAATGATGCCTTAGAGAACTGAGGTTTCTAATAATACAATCTTTTTAAAAGTGTTTCTCTTCTTTCTCTTTGTAAAGGATAGCCACAACTACATAAAAAAAACTTTCTAGAACAAACCAGAAATATGAACTTGGGAAACGTGTGTCACGGGCAAACCTTCCAATGGAAGGAGACAAATGCCTGCAGCAGATCTCATTTGACTTTCTACATGTTCCCCTTTCCCAGTGCCCTCTGCCTTCCTTGCAGGGATTGGAATTTGAATTGCAAACATCCCCTGACAATTTATTTTTATCTTATAATGTCTAGTTTCTGCCTCCAACAACACCCCAACCACTGTTTTCAACTCCTCCAAGGTCCGTAAATGGAGAGTCCCAACCATGTCCATTTCACCCTTCCAAGGCCATAAATGGAGAAGGAAACCATGCCAATGTTCACCCTTTACTGGCTGCCTAGAGAAAAGCCTTCAGCACATAAAAGAGCCTATCGGCTCTTTCACTGAGAGTTATTTCAGAAATCGAGGAATAAAACTAACGTTCCTTTGAAGAAAGGTGCCACATTTATCAGGAATTGACACACAGGCATAAGCAAAGCCACCAATGTTTGATAATATACATGGTGGGAAACCACAGACTTTTACTCACTTTGAAACCACAAAATTGAGCTTAAAATTTCAGTTGGCTTGTATAATTGTGAATAAGGAAACTAGTAATATCTAATGGTTATAGATATGGGAGAATAGACAAGTGTTGTATATTTCATCAAAAGAGACTAACAGATCTTGCCATCTCTTACTTTGTAGTGTACTTTTGTAATACATTTTATGGTGCAATATCTTGATATGTAAAATATCTATCAGAAGAAAAGATGTTTGGTAACTTATAAATCCATGATAGGAATTTGATGTATTAAAATAATATTAAAAAGATTTCCAAGTTGATTTTAACTCTCTCAAGATATAAATACACATAAGAGGTAAATTCTGGGTTCAGTAAAGACCACAGATTCAAGGACAGGCTGTTTAAATAGCCCACATCAACTAAGAAAAAAAAAAGCAAGAACTCAAACATCAGCTTGACTGGTTCTACTATAACAAACACTGGGATTTAGTAAAACTTGACAGAATTTAGAGATGGATAAAAAGGACCTATGGAGACCTTCCAATTATTATCACCCATAATAAATCAAAAAAGGTTATGTTTTCCACACTCTCAATGATTAACCAAAGCATATAACTAAAAGACTATATGTGTCAACGATCCTGAATAAACCAACTTAAAAACACACTCTGAATCTGAGAGTACAATAATGCCCCTGAATCTAGGAAAAACAAAGTCTCACCTCCCATTTCAGACAGCTACCAAATCCAACAAGAACCTTAATTTGGCTTTCTTGGAGAGCCACGTCCTATTCAACACAAAAACCTTGCTTCTCTTCCTTCTTCCTTTACCTTACTGGTCTTGGAAATTTATAGTAATTTAAGCTCTAATAATTTTCTAAAAATTAAGATCTTAGGGAAATTTGCTTAAAATTATTAAAAATTATTCACAATTAAAAATAATAATTTGGCTTACTATCAGAAATTTCCCTGGTAAATTGACATTAAGTTTCTGTCTCCTCCCTGGAGGAAGAGCTGTGAGATAATACTATATCTTGAACGAAGCATAGGGACAGAGGTCAGGAGGAGTCAAGAAAATCTGGACAGGAGAACTAAAGCACAGGTAATACCTGGATCAAGTGGTCAAACCAGGAGTTCATGAGTACTTAACTTGGAAGAAATGCCAGGTAAATGCTTACTAAATACACCACACCAGGTGCTTAATGACTACCAAAGGAAAAGAACCAGAGAAAAGACTTGAAAGATGTCCCATTACCAAAGCAGGAAAAAAATAAGATGGCTGACAACTGACAATTTATAGGACAGAGTGAAAGTTTTGCCAAGTTTAAGATTAGAGTAAAAGGAAATGAGAGAATAAAAAGATGACATTCATTGTGGATGAATGTATAGGGAGTCTATGGGGGAGGGGGTCAGGTAAACAAAGGCAGGGGCTTTAGATTGGCAGGATTGGGGGTTTAACGGCAGTAATGCAGAGAAAGACCCAGAGTTACAGTACACGTAACATTAAATACAGTGCACAATGCAGCTATCTTGCCAAAGTAAGTAAATCCAGTATTGGGTTGTATAAGCAGAGGAATCACATGTAAGCTATGAAGGTGGCTCTTCCTCTCTATTCAGCACCGGTGAGGCCACAGCTGGAGCACAGCATTCAGTTCTGGGCATCGAACCAGCTACAAGAGAGGGAAATTGTAGAGTTCAGAAAAGGGCAAATAAAATAATGAAAGGCTTGGAAAATAAGATCTATAAGCAGGGCCAGTGGTTTCATCAAAGCCCTTCCTGACATTATCTAAGCTACTTTTGGGGTGAGATTAAGGTTTATTTTGCTACAATGTCCTCCAATCCCTCCTTTGACCTTCAGGAAGTGGGAAGAATTAAATTCCTCCCTGGTATGGCCAACTAGGAAGCAAAACTAAATAAAGCGTAAGGGCATATGCTAACCAATTCCAGTACTGGCTCAATAATTTTCTCAAAATTTGCCCCATTTCATACAATCATAAAGTAATTACCATGACAATACCACTGCTATAGCTGACTGACTGTAAGGGGAAAGAAGCATACAACGAGGAGGGTAGAAATAAGGTGTAACAGTTGTATAAACACGTTGTTTAGAAAACATTGGCTTGATCAGGCTAAGATGTCAGATGAAAAACAGTCAATCTGCAGTGAGGACAGCTTAGTTATAATAGCAGGAAACAATGTTATAAGAAAAAATAAGCAGTGAAACAGATTTTCAAATGTAATTGTCAAACTGGCCATACTAGAAATGGATTACACAGTTATCTTAACCCACTGCCAACTACAACTGATAAATTTGAGATTCCTTTCACCCAAATGATTAAATAAAGAATACACTTATTTGTAAACAAAGCCTTAAAAATCATATATTATACTTTACAAAGATGAGGAAATTATACTAGGAGTAAACTTCCAGTGACTGATTTTCTTATAAAAGTATTAAAAATTATACCTCAGACTAAAGCAGATATGTACTTTGAAACAACGTAAGTCTTTGTAATAGATTTTTCTTCTTCCTTTAAAGTAAAGTTACTACTATTTTAAATGCTACAACTAGTTGCTCTTAGTTAATTGAGGCAACAAAACAAAACCAAGTGTATTTAATATCTTTAAGACTCAAAATTTCTTTAATTAGCTATATTTCATTACTGTGAGCATAAAAGAAAAAAATCTTAAATAGCACACATAAGTCAAAAACCACATTTCTGCACACAGTAAGAGATGTTAACAATGTATTGTAAATTCCTGTACATATCTTTTTGACACGGAATTGTAATAATTAGGAAGTCACCTAAGATAAAATCCATCTGGGGCCAGCAGAACTTTTACTATCCACTTTCTTAGATTATCTATGTATTAATATCTGACAAACTGGCTTGCCAATCACTTAAATCCCTTAAAGCCAACCAAATAAAAAGCTCAACAAAAGAAAACCAAAAAGAAAAATGTATCAAACTTATTTTAACTCCCCCAGTTCTTAGTACTACAAAGCAAGTTTTGGCAAATAAAAATCTTTTTATTCTTAAATATTTTGCTTTTCCTTTTCCTCTCCAGGGCAGAGGTTCCTAACCTTTTTGGCTCATGGACTCCCTCCCCAGAAAAATGCACACATACACAACCTGTTCCATACAGTTTCAAGGGGGTACATGGACTCACTGAAGTGCCCATACAAGAACCTCAGATTAAAAACCTCTGCTCTATATTAGGTAGTTTTTTCTTCCATAAAAGACAATAATATATATTAGTCAGAAACTCTAAAATAAGGTAGACTTAATTTGTTTCTTAGGCTTTTTACAAGAGATTCTAAAGACTGGAACAACAAGTTTAAGTACAATTAACCAGTTTGCTCAGTATCCTGTTCATTTAGATGAAGCAGCATTAATATTTCCTTTAAGAGGTAAATTAGCCAAATTCCCTGTTTCTTGAAGGAAATAACATCTATCAGTAAATCATACAAGGATATCGCTTTACTCTTCACAAATATATAGCATCTTCCTCCTGCTGAGCAAGAAATTCTTTGTTGAAGTGATAATTAAGTAATATTAAAAGATTCATTAGTTATGCTGATTATCTGATCCAATTGTATCATATAGTACTTGATCATTATCTGATTGACTTATAAATATAAATGCCAGATAAATTACCTAAAGTAACAACTTAAGACAGGGAAATTCATACATCTAGAAACAAGTATAAGAAAGTAACTGACTATCTTTCTTACCAGTCTCTGTGGCTAAGTTCTCACATCTTCCAATTCTAACACTTCCATGATGACTGAGGGGTCTCACAGGAATAGACAATGTCTACATTAGTTCAGTCCTTAACCCATTGGGATCGCCTTTTGATCTATTACTCTACTAGAACTGTTCATATTATGATCAATGTTATCTTAATAACTAAAAATGGTCCTCAAACTCTGTACTTAATTCATTTGCCTCCCCTGCAGCACTTGATACTGTTCAGCACCTATCCATATCACTGTCCTTGCCAACTTTCTCTTTATAAAACTTTCTAGGCCAGTGCGATGGCTCATGCCTGTAATCCCAGCACTCTGGGAGGCCAAAGTGGGAGGACTGCTTGAGATCATGAGTTTGAGACCAACTTGAACAAGATACCCGTCTCTACCAAAAATAGAAAAAATTAGCTGGGTGTGGTGGCACACACTTATAGTCCCAGCTACTTGGGAGGCTGAGGCAGGAGGATCACTTGAGCCCAGAGTTTGAGGTTGCAGTGAGTTATGATGGCGCCACTGCCACGGCACTCTAGCCCAGGCGACAGAGTGAGACCTTGTCTTAAAAAAAACAAAAAAACAAAAAACCCAAACATTCTATAATATACTGATCCACTGGGAGTTGGTGGAGCTGCCAATGCTCTAATTGCAAACCAGACCCCAACTTCTAAAACGTTATAGAAATTTTGAATGGAAAAGAACCTTAAAGATCATCTAGTCCAACTTCCTCATTTAACAAATGAGGAATCAAGGCCCAAAAATAAGTATTCCTTTAAAAGGGATTTGGTATATGAAAATTACGAAATAACACCCATAAAATGTTAATATTTCCTAAGAAAGTTATGAGGTAGGGATTTTGTCTACCTTGTTTGTCTCCTCCTGAGCCTAGAACCGTGCCTATCACCTATTCAATATATATTAAATAACTATTAAATAACTAAATTAAGATAATTTTAAAATAGTAAATCACTAACAAGGGGATCAATTTATTTTTTTTCTTTCTTTAAGAGACAGGGTCTCTGTCGCCCAGGCGGGAGTGCACGGGCTTGATCATAGCTCACTGTAGCCTCAAACTCCCGGGCTCAAGTGTTCGATCCTCTTGCTTCAGCCTCCTGAGTAGCGAAGACTACAGGCGTGCACCACCACACCCAGTTAATTTTTGGTCTTGCTATCTTGCCCAGGCTGGTCCCAAACTCCTGACCTCAAGCAATTCTCTGCCCCAGACCTCCCAAAGTGCTGGGATTACAGGCGTGAGCCACCATGACTGGGTCAAATTTTTCTTAGCAGAGAAAATCAGAAAACTCATTGTTTAACCACAATAGATTATATTTATAAAATCAATAAATCTTGGTAGGTAGGGTCCTGAAATCTTTTGAAAAAAGCAGTAGCAAAAAAAGGGTACAAAATGTAGATAACGGCTATAATTAGCAAAGCAGAAAGGCTATTTTTAAAATACCTACCATTCTTGTTGTTATTGCTTTGGGAGGGGGCAGGTCACCTACCAAAGGGAGCTCTGCAGCCCTGTCCAAATTTTATTTCTATGCCCTATAAATTAAACAAATAAATAAAATATTTAAAAATACAAGGTAGTTCTGTCAAAGATAGAAAGGGAAAAATACTCGTTTCTTGATTTTAATAGGGTCAAACAGAATGACCACCACAAACAAGAGATCTTACCTCTCTGGAGCCTCAGTCTTTGTGGGGAACTGTCCAGGACTGAACGCTATCAGCTTGCACTTCATTCTGAATCTAGCTATCAACGACTCACTCACTTTGTGTTTACAACCGGTCAGCACTGTCTTCATGAGCAGAGAGTCTTGCATAGAATATGTAATGTGAGAAATTTTGATTCTCAACACCAAGTTCTAAGTTTTCTGGGTTCCTTCACGCTAGCAGCTAAGGGTCTTGCCCATTCAGATTACTAAGAAAAAAAAAACCTTTAAGGAAGACATTGTCCAAAAGAAATACCTTCGATGGCTCAAGGAAGTAAATTCATGTAACCATAAAGCTTTTAACCTATGCTATATGTACTTCATATGGACACTCATACAATTAACTCATATCAGCAGCACTCTATAAAAGCAACACGTGGTATACATGTTCATGTGTAAGAGCTTCTTTGGGACATAAGAATCCTTCTAGATATGGAATTCTCGAGTGTTCTCTATTTAGAACCAGGCAGGTCAAAAAATTAGGGTATACTGAATTACTTATTTCAGATATAAGCAGCAGTATGTAGCTACAATAGGCAGATAACACTATCTAGAACTTCCTCCTCACCTGAAAGGGAAAAAAAAAAAATCAATTGTTGGTAAAGAACTGACTTGGATTGGAGGTTATTTTCATGTGACCTCCTATCACACCTCTCAAATTGCTAATGTCAGCACCTCTTTGAATCTCTTTCTCAGTACTTCGCACCTTGGGGCACCACTTCAAAGTGGTATTCAGATACATTAAAAATGTTATTAACTTTGATTGGCATGTGATATCTAAACAACACATTCAAGAAAATTATCTAAAATATTTCTGCCACAGGGGAGAACCATTCGTCTTTAAAGGCCTTCCAAACACCCTCCATTATGAACTTAACTGTTTCACAAATAACTATGTCTAGAAATTAAGAACCCCTTCCTCCCACCACACACACACACAAGAAACCTCACACAGCTTTATCATTAGAACATTGTATTGCTCCCCAAATACAAAGGTATCTTCTATTCATGAGACCAATGTTTAAAAGGGAAACTGTCCAGAGCAGTTTCCCCCTGCAGTAGACCACTTTATTCTTTTCATATGTTGACCATGTGATTCTCCCAGTTTTATAGCTTTCTTACCAAAAACTACCATCTATGACACAAAGATGACCTACAATAGAGATGTTTTCTGTTCGTAAATTTTATACTTTGGTTATGAAAAAGAGAATCC